GGGGTGGGGGGGGGCTAAATGAAGAAACTGAGTTTTTAGAAAGAAGGATGAGTTCTGATCGAGAGTGTTGTTTGGTTGGGTTTTCGATTGGGGGAAGGGATACGTTTGGAAATTAGGGAAAATAAAAGGGTAAATTAGGGGAAGGGGAAATAGTTATGTTTATGCTGTTATAGAGAAGCTTTGCTATTGTGAATTGTTTGTACAAAAAATGTGTATGAGGTAACATATGAAAAGCTGACACGTTGCAGGGAGACACGTGGCGGCGAGCTGGGGATGACCGACAATTGCACTATTTTGTGATTTTCGTGGAAAATAAGGTGGCGTTTTTCAAAAAAGTAAAAAAGAAGTCTGGATATTTCTTACCTTTCAGAATTTTATCTTAGCTTCCGGAGGTCTTTTAAAGTGTCTCAAGGGTTTACTAAGACTAAAAAGCTTCTAAGAACGATGGTATTTGGCTTAAATAGCAATTTGTTTTTGTTTTGTCTTTGTTAAATGTATTAGTGAGGAGAATGAATTATTATTTTCTTATGGTGCCTTAAGCAATCTTAACATGGCGTACGTGTTGTTTGTTGACTAGGGTTAGTTTCGAGGCTAACTCTATCATATTAGAATAATACATATTCATATTTTTGATTTAATTAATATTCGGTTCATTATTATGTTATTTGTGTCGTAAATATTCTGTCATGGATGTGTGAAGGAGTACTAAGTGTTCTACATTGGTGGAGGAATGAATTATTGTCTCTTTATATGTCCTTGAACAATATTCAACCTTGCGAGTTAGTTTTTTTGATTGAGTTAGATCGGAAAAATACTTTTTATCTATTTATTCTAAAAAAAGAAATTATATCTTTTGGCAAATGTTCAAATTTGAGTGTGGTTGGATTATTGTAATAGAATTTATATTCTTCGATGACTTTTCTTATAAGCATTTGAGTAACTAAGTTTTTAAATGTAATCAAACCTTTATTCTAGTGCCAAAAAGGGCTTCTTGGAAAAGTATGAAAGAAAACAAGACGCCAAAGAAAGTAAGATCTATGTAATCTAATTTGGGTGTTTTTCCTTAGGTTTTAAATAATGAGTTCATCACATTTAAGACGGAATTTTATGTGCGGAAACGTCGAACAATAAAAACATTTGGTGAGGAAAAAACGAGCTTATAGAAAGGAATGTAACGACCCGACCGACCATTTTGAGCTTTTACACTTCGCTCGTCATTCTCGGGCACGACTAGCCCCGTGTGATGTATTATGACATATAAATCATCGTTTTTGGTTTTCAGGGGGAATCGAAATGAATTTGGAAGAACAGTTCTCAATTTGAAGCTTAAAATTTGAAAGGTTTGATCAAATTTTGACTTGTTAGTATATGATTGTCACGACCCGGATTTTTCACCCTCGGGAGTCGTGATGGCACCTACTAATGAGAGCTAGGCAAGTCAATCCTTAACTGCTTACTTCATTAACAATTACTTCTTTTAACAATTATCAGCGATAGCATGAAAGCAACGGAATTAAATAAATAGGCGGAAGACTTAAGTTTAAAGAAAACTGAACAATAATGCGAGAATCAACATATGCCTCTACCCAAGAACTGGTGTCACATTACTCACGAACTTCTAAGAGTGCTAAATACAACCGTTTGAAAGAAATATAAACTGTTTGTCTCAAATATATGAGATAACATACAGAAATAAAAGATAGAGGAGACGCCGGGCCTGCGAACGCCTGCAAGGCTACCTCAGTGTCTCACTGGACTGAAGGCTGGCTCCCGCGCTTCTGCTGCTGTCCAAAACCTGGATCTGTGCAAAAGAGCACAAAGCGTAGTATCAGCACAACCGGCCCCATGTGCTGGTAAGTGTCTGGCCTAACCCCGGCGAGGTAGTGACGAGGCTAGGACCAGACTCCAGATAAACCTATACAGTTATATAATATATGGCGGAAAAGTAAACAAGTAATAAGCAGTTAAAGCTGGGGAAGGGGAACATGCTTCGGGGATAGCAGTTAAAAGAAATAACAGGGAATAATAAGGAAGCTAGCACTATAACTTCTATCACAAATGAAGAAAATAAAGGCAACTTTCACTTTCAGTTTCCTCTTGTTGCAGGCGTGCAACCCGATCCCATTTCTCATATCTCGTGGTAGGCGTACCACCCGCTCCCATTTCATAATATCTTGTGGTAGGCGTACCACCGGCTCCCATTTCATAATATCTTGTGATAGGCATACCACCCGCTCCCATTTCATAATATCTTGTGATAGGCGTACCACCCACTCCCATTTCAATTCACCACACAATCACAAGAAATCCGGCAAGGGAGCATAAGTAATATAATAACTTCCTGGCAAGGGGGACATAAGTAATATAATAACTTCCCGGCAAGGGAACAATGATATCGAAATAGTCATCCCGGCAAGGGAGAATCAGCTATAACCAATCTCACGTTACTAGTACTCAGTTCATTTAATGGAAATACTTAATCATAGAGGATCATTAATTAAAGTATACAAGGTGTCATTCAAAAACACAACAATTTTCAAGTTAAGACCCACGGTCATACTTGACACCAACGTATAGATACTCGTCACCATGCCTATACGATGTACTCAACAAGAAGCAAGTGGAAAATATGACCCAACTCCTAATCCCTCAAGCTAGGGTTAAACCAAACACTTACCTCGATGTCTTGAACACCACTCAAGTCTCAATTATAGCTTTACCTCTTGATTCCACCACCAATCCGCTCGAATCTAGTCATAAGTTACTTAATCACATTAATAAATGCTAAATGAATCAACCCCAATGCATGAAAATGAGTTTTCAAAAGTCTTACCCAAAAGTCAAAAATTACCTCCGGGCCCACGTGGTCGAAACCCGAGGTTCGGACCAAAACCCGATTACACATTCCCCCACAAATTCAAATATATGGTTTGTTTTGAAATCAGACCTCAAATTGAGGTCCAAATCCCCAATTTTTTTTGAGAAACCTAGGTTCTACCCAAATCACTCAATTTCCCCATGAAAATCTTTGATTTGAAGTTGAAATCATGTTAAAAGATATTAAGAAGTGA